AAATTTGGTGTTTGTAGGTATAGATGTTAGCTGGAACAGGAACAGAGGAAAAATTTGTCATCATGTGTCAAAGTCGACAGGTGTACTTATTGTTGCTTGACAATTATTTTTACTTTTCGGCACTCAGTGCGGATAAGGCCTGTATCCGCACTGAGTGCGGAAAAGTGCAACTTTGAGAACCGAAATGCGTGCGGAAAAGTACTACTTTGCGCACGCTCGTAGGAAAATAGATTTTCCAATCTATAAAGTTTGAAGGTCTTCGTGAAACACACAAAACCACTTTGAAATCACTCAGAAACACTTGACAACACAAAGAAAGACGAAATGCAAGACCGGCGAACGAAAAACATGAATTATTAGTTATGATCAAATGAATATTTTGGCATATTGTCATATGTTGACATGTCAATCTCATGTCAATGTTATTGACATCGGACGTGTTCTTGATGTGCTGGTATTTTACAATTCTGTTGTCAGCGACATCTAGAAAAACGGAATAGTATATTACATGTATGTATACTATTTTATTTACAATCATTCGAATTTTGAAATTTTGGTTTGAATTAAAACTAAAAAATACAATAATTAACAATTTCATTTACTTTCGGCCCACGGGTCGAAAGTTTACTTTCGACCCGTGTGCCGAAAGTAAAAGTAAAAAAATACAATAAATTTTAAATATTTCATTTACTTTCGGCCCACGGGTCGAAAGTAAACTTTCGACCCGTGGGCCGAAAGTAAAAGTCAAAAAAGTGACATTTTCGAACTTTTTAAAAGTCAGTAAAGTCAACATTACATGTATGATTGTAAATAAAAGAGTTATTATGTGGTTTATTACTGGCAATAAGAGATCGCAGGGCCTGATAATATCACAAGAGAAAAAAAATTGTCGGCAAAATTTTCGAAAGGTATGAAAGTTTGTTGCTTGGCAATTTGCCAAAAAGCAACAAACTTGAATAAAACCTTGAGAACAATTTTGCCTACACAATTTTTTCTCGAGTGGTATTCGTCATGACTATTTGGGCACTTTCCAAATTTCACCGATAAATTGACCGGTTAAATAAACCGGTAGCTGTCAAAAAATTCCGGTCAAAGTTAGGTGTAAGTCCAGTTACAAGATTTTTCTGATGCATTTTGGAACGCTTTGGTGTGTTAAAGTTTGGTTATGACGGTTGTGTTGCGACAATTTAACGAACGACTGCCGATAGTGCCCATTCAAAGCAATTGATGTACGTCAAAAAAAAAGTGTCAAAAAATCTCCAACCGAAAAAACCGACAAAAATTCCCGGTGAATCCGGTGCCTCACCGGTTTCAAACAACTGATCACTCCGGTCAATTTTGGAACGGACGATCTGGTTCAACGGGTAAAAAGTTGATACATTTTGGAACGGTTTGGTAAGTGAACTATTAAACCGGTATCGCACCGGTTCAGAAACCGGTGAATTTTGGAAAGTGCCCTTTCACGTAAGATTTTGAAAATAAATAGAATGGAAAATTATTAATAAAAACTTCAAATTAAAAATACCAGTTTGACAATGTCAAAAGATGGTCACTGAAATACCATGTTGTTGGTATTGTCCAGGTAGCATTATTAATTGTCAGGTGAATACCGAATTTATTGCTGGTGTAATACACTCTAGTGAAATAGTCATATATAATATCACAAAAGAAAAAAATTTGTAGACAAAATTTTCGAAAGGTATGAAAGTTTGTTGCTTGGCAATTTCGCGAATGACATTTTTGACAAAATCACGAGCCGTCAGGCGAGTTTCGTCACTAGTGACCAAAATGAATGATTAGGATTTTACATGTTAAATACATTCTTTCAATCCAATTATAATTTAATTCTCTGAAGCACAATGAAAAAACAAATACGTAGTTCATCACACAAAATTACCTAGAACTGAGAACTTTTGATAGATGGCGCCTTGATTCATTCACGTTTTTAAGCGCCATCTATCAAAATCAAACCAAGTAGGAACCCTTGTGAGAAAAACATAAGTTGAACACCAAAAATCAAAACATGGTCATTGAAAAAGTATAGTGTTCTACTCGTTGAAAATAATTTTTTGCAACTTGAAAACATTATCAAACTCTGGCTTCACGTCGTCGTTTGGTAAAAAAAATGCTGTTCTCGTCGCTCGTTAAACAATATACTAAGTAAATTGTAAATGTTGAATACAAAAACTTATGATTTGTTCAATCGCTTAATAATTATTGACGAGTCCTTTTTATCTGGGCTACACAAAAATGCCAAGGATTTTTTTAAAAATCAACAAACAACAATAAAAACTTTACTAAACCATTAAGTTTACATTGTTATTTGGTAATTTTAATAAAATCCTCAGATTAACTAAATAAAGAAACCCGTATAATTAACTAAATTAATAAATCCGTAGAATTAACTAAATAAAGAAAAAAAGATCCGATCATATTTTTCCCAAGAAAAGATCATCAAAAAACAACGCACACAACAAATATGACTGAAAGTTTCAACAGCACCCTTTCCCGCTTGTCCGTCTTCTCGTAAAAACAATAAAATTTGCGTACGTTCTGTATATCCTGCAGCTCAATTTCCGCCTATATTTCGCTATCTAAACCTATGACCAAGTGCGGTGCGGGGAGATGGGAAGGGAACAGCGGCGAGCACAGAACTCGAAAGCGGCCCAGCTATGTTATGTTGTACGCGAAAATCGTATTATTAACTTGCCATGCTTGGCCGACTGTAGCGTACAGACGGGGCAGGTCGGGCGTCGTCGCGTCGCACGAAGGCCTACTATACTAGCATGCCCGGCCGAAAATATACCGTTTCAATAATTTTAGTGGGTTTAACTTTTACTTGAAAAAATATAAAATAATCAAACAACTAGTTAAGTAATTATGAAAATTTTGGGGGTTCTGCAGCACTGCAGCCCTTATGCACCAGCCAACCCTGAAGTCTCTTGAAGGGGGTGTGACCCAAAAATGAAAGTTTTAGTGCAAAAAAATCTAAGAATAAGTATTTAAACCGCATCTTGCTACGATGGTCCGTTTTCGAGTTAGGGCAGTTTGAAGTTACAACTAGGTGTTTGTGACGTCACACTGGATTATCAGGAAAATTATTAACACATGTAAGAGTATTCCAAAACAAAAGACAATTATCTCTTAGAGCGAATTGCAACCACTCAAAGTATAGGGTACGGTTCATTGGTGACTGAACGAACAGAAGACTGCGATTTCGGCGGTTGTGACATCACAAGCTCCTGCATAATTTATCTTCGCAAGGAATTTTCTCAAAGACTATTTTGAAGATAGGACTGCGGTTTTCACGAGAGATCTTAGAATTTTTTGCTTGATTTAAGTAGCTTAAGTCGTTTTTTAGGGTCCCACCCCTTTTTCAATGCTGAGTCTGACATTTTCTTCTGTCAGTTTAGGAAAGACGAAATTTCCCTCATAACAAATGTTTTCAACACTGGTGTAGATTTCTGAAAAACTGAACTAAAGTATTGAGCAAAGGCATCTGCTATACACTATGGTTCACTAAAACTAACATTGTTAAAATTCATTACATAAGGGATACAATTAATTGTTTTTACTTTTCCCTTTAACATATGACCAAAAACTGCTAGGATCTAAATTTATGTTGTTTCCAATTTTTTGTTGATATGACTTAAATTCAGCTTTAGTCTGGTGTTTAATAGATTCCTGTATTCAGTGACTTGCAAATCTGTTGCATTCCCTGAATTACACAGTTTATGTAACTTGTTTTTTTTCCTAATGTCCCTAACTAATTCAACTGAGAAGTAGACTGGATACTTACGGCCACTACTTGCCTTGTCAGGCTTTTTCGGGATAGCTTGGTCTATACATTTATATAAAGTATCATAAAAAATCTCCACACATTCATCACAATCAGATACACTGTACATATTAGACCAATCTGCTGAGTTTAACAGATGATAAAGCATGGAAAATTGCCATTTGCGTAATCATAATAAAAGCTTTTGTTTATGTTGTTATTTTCATCAGACTGGGTACCACTACCATGCAATATCATTAACATATTTAGTGCCGGGTGATAAATATCTTTACAGACTAGAGGATTTCGTGAATATTTACAAAATTCATATTACTGAAAATAAGATCTAACGACCTTTCCTTACAGTTAAATATAGTATTAATTTGTGTCAGACTAAGTAACTCTAGGAACTGATAGATAAGGTAGGTCTTTTCATAGGCTTTCATGGAAAAATTTGGCACATTGAAGTCACCCATAAGAGTAAAATCTATATTCCCAGAAAGAAATGGCTTAAATGCATCAAACACACTCTCATATACACATAAATTACTGTTAGGTGGAATATATATACAGGACTAATAAAAAATATTCTTCTTATACCGAGTCTTATACTTAATCTTTAAAAGCAGGCAGTCTATACTTCTATCACATTCAATATCAATAACTTCTACAGCAAAATGTACCTTTGTAGCGATAAGTACTCCACCTCCCATCGACTTATCATTATTTTGGACCTTTCTAAAGACACTGTATTCTCCATTGAATAACTCAGAGTTCTCAATCCCATTAGTTAGCCATGTTTCGGTTAACACAATTATGTCATAATCTTCAGTGACCATACTGGCAAAAAATCATGGGTTTTTGTATGAAGACCCCTTACAGTCTGGTAGTAGAAACTTATCTGGTGGTTTCTTCTAGAGGATCTGTCGGTTGCGTCAGCGTCCTCTTGTTTCGGAAAAAAATGAGAAACGAGCGCCACACTTCTCTGTTCCAGGCTTTCTTTAATTCTGGTAATGGTAACTTTCATGGAGCTGTAAAGATCTGGATATTTAGACTCATGATTTTCAAACTGAATTCCAGAGAATTCACTCTGAAGGATGGCTTGCAAGTCTTCCGGCTTGGTGGAAGGTGCCAAACGTGTTATATGCAAAGATACATACTTGGGAACTGTTTAATGTTGAAATTAAAAAAAATCATAATTCATGTTATTTTATTATTTCAGATCTAAAGCTTCAGCCACAAAAAGTGTGACTAAATCTAATGACAAATCGGATGCTGCTCAAATTGTCATTTCAAGCTCAAACTCTCCCAATAATTCAGAAGCTTCAACTGGTATTGAAAATGCAACACCTAAAAAAACAAATCCTAAAAAGAAAAAAAAGGTCAAAGGCAGAGGTAATTTAAACTACTATAGGTATAAAGTGAAACATAACTATTATGTAATAATAATTTCTAGAACGACCAGTGGAAGAGTTTATTGATTTGGTCAAACCAAAACGCAACAGATGCCTCAACACTTACTGTGCTGAACAATGTGCACAGCACATTTCCGCTCCCGACTTTTGCTTTTCATATTTCAGAGTGAAAAAGTCTAAAAGCAAAGATCAGAAGGAAGAAATTTGTATGGATTGTTATAATCAAGCTATAATCCCATTCGATAAACTCGCAACAAATTTGACAAAAGGTAACATATTAGCATTAGATACATAACTATGTAAGATATATTTTTTTAATGCCTATAAAAATTTAGGCGAAATCCTCTATAAGGTAAATATGCCTATAATCAATGACACAATGCACATATTTGATTCTGATGAAGAAAATGAACAAGTAGATAAACAGGAATATCTTAATGAAGAAAATACAGCTTTTTTCAATGATAATATTGATGCGGTTTTGGAGGAACTTACTACTCGTTTAAATATGGCGTCGCTGCTGGAAAATAATCAAAATTATTTGAAGGAGAAGGCCCAAGAAAATCAAGGTATTTCATCACGCTCAACTTAGAATGTACAGAAAAATAATGCAGTTTGTAAAATTTTACATTTTTTTTTTTCATTTTTAGAAGTAGTCCAAAAAATGAAAATTGAGATTGATACATTGAGAGCCAGTTTTGATGCAATACAACTAGGTGTATACAAAGCCTTTGCGCCAGATTTTCAAAATTTGAAAGGAATAACGATTTTGGATGATTATTCTAAGAGTCATGCTGTGCAAATACTTCCAGGTAAGATATCTATTCATTATTTTAATCAATTGATCAATCAAAATATGCTTTATGTCCGATTGACAAATCGTGCTATTTTTTATAGAACAGTTTTGCGTCAATAAAGTAGCATTTTATTTTACTGTAAAATAAAGTGCTACTTTATTGCCTACCTGACAACCTGCCAAGGTGAAACAGGTATACTCGAATTTCAATTTTTTCAATTTTTAATAAAAACTAGTCGCAATCGTACATAATAGTACATTAAAATACAAGTTTCATAAGACGTCATTTTACCGCACGAGCCCTATATTAGAAAACGAGCCGGAGGCGTGTTTTTTCAAGGGCGAGTGCGATAATAGTACATTAAAATACAAGTTTCATAAGACGTCATTTTATCGCACGAGCCCTATATTAGAAAACGAGCCGGAGGCGAGTTTTCTAAAGGGCGAGTGCGATAAAATGTCTTATGAAACGAATATTTTATACTATTTTTTCTATTTTGGTATTGTTTAATTAAAAAAAAACAAATTTTTCTTGGAAACTTTATTCTCATATTTCCTGATTTCATGTTTAGGTTGGTAACATTACATGCCAAATATAGAAATCTTCTTTTTTATTTTTATTTTTACCATAATAAAATCGCAAATGACAGTTCGATGGCCATCAGTCAGCCAGTGTTACAAACTTCCGATAAGTAAAAAAGGAGTGTCACAAAGAGCTTCTTTTCGAAACTACTTTTAGTGTCGAAAAGACTTCGATATGGAACCAAAATAGAAAAAATGTCTTATGAATTGAATATTTTATACTATTTTTTTCTATTTTGGTATTGTTTAATTGAAAAAAAAAAAAATTTTTGGAAATTTTATTCTCATATTTCCTGATTTCATATGTTTAGGTTGGTAACACTGCATGCCAAATATAGAAATCTGCTATTATAAAATCGCGAATGACAGTTCGATGGCCATCAGTCAGCCAGTGTAACCAACCTCCGATAAGTAAAAAAGGAGTGTCACAAAGAGCTTCTATTCGAAACTAAAATCTGTTTTTTTTTTAAAGATAATTCCCCAAGTCAAAAATTTAGTAACTATGTTGGCAACACAAGCCTTTTCTACATGAAAAATTTGATAGCATTGACAATTTTACATTGTATTGCCAACCTAATGTCAGTTTGACTTTTATCTTAAAAAAAAAACGCACTTTATGTACTTTTAGTGTCGCAAAGACTTCGATATGACACCAAAATAGAAAAAATCATGTATGTAACGCTTACATAAACAGGCTCTATTGACTCATTATATAGCCTCACTTGCAAGCTGGCTCGGCCATAAAATTATTCATACAATAAAGCCTTATTTTATGTACTCTTTATATAAATAGCTATTATTGCTTAAAGACACGTCTCATTAACAAAGCTAATAAAATAGATATACTGGGTGTTCAGGACCAGATAAAATTCAAAATTTCTGGTACAAGCAGCTCACATTCACACACAAAGCACTAACCAGAAAAATAAGTAAAAGCATCTGTCACCCAAAGACATTCCCAAAATCCCTAACACAGGGCAATACATATTATATTAAACCGAAAAACGCAGACACAAAGAATGCAGTTAACTATATACAGACCAATAACATGCTTACCTACACTATGCAAAATAATTACCACTACCATATGTAAAAAAATAGAAAAACATCTAGCGCAATATAACATACTCATAGAGAAACAAAAAGGATGCAGAAAATTCAGCCAAGGATGTAAAGAGCAATTAATAATAGACTCGGTTATTTTAAAACTAACCGAAGAAGAACGCAGAAATTTACACACATGCTACATAGACTATGTGTTGGCTTTTGATTCCGTACCTCATAGCTGGCTAATACAAATCTTAGACACCTACAGAGTAGATACAAAGCTCAAACAATTCCTGTCAGAAATAATGAAAACCTGGAGAACTAAAATTACAATAACATTAGAATCAGAAACCTTGCAGATAGATGAACTTATACATCCGACGAGGTATCTTCAAAGGTGATCCACTAAGTGCCTTATGGTTCTGTATGTGCCTAAATCCACTCTCTAACACACTAAATGACTCCCAATACGGCTTTAACTTAAAAAAATAGAAAAATAGCACAACATAGAATAAACTACCTCCTATATTAGTAGAGTGCCGCGAGGCTCGTATCTTGTCACCCCATAGGCACTTTTTGGCTAACAAGGTTTGACTTTGGAAATGAATTAAGGACATTTCGTAGATTACTGATCCACTTCTCTTCACAAATTCGTCCAAGCCCTAAGGTCACAAATCATTTTTTTTTAACCAAGAGCATCTCGGAATTCAGCCCAAAATTCCATACATCTTGGCAAAAAATTATTAAATTTCCCCTACAAATTATATTTTTAAATAATTATTGAAATTTTAAATTAACATTAACCGAAGACAAAAGTCAAATTATCTCCGTTTCATAACGCTAGAAAAGTGATAATTTTTATTGTCATTTTGTGTTAAACCTGTGATATCTCGAAAACTATTCCAGATATCAAGAAAATTTACTCTTGATAAAATAAGCGCCATGATCTTATTCTCCGAGTGTTCTTAATATAGATAATAAGTTCCCAGTCTTTTCGCGCCTATTTGTACTTGAGTTTGATGTTTTTTTATAAAAGTTGTAACTGCGAATTTTTGTTGTTTGAACATTCTACATATATGTAATAAAACTCAGTTCTGAAAGGCATTTAATTAATATTGACGTGTTAGTTTGTGGCCAGCTAATAAGGGTAATTTATTATTTCATTTACTTGAGGTTAACAACTCACCAATAATAAATTTTTTAGATTCAATAGATCCTACTTCTTATTGCGAAAGTAACTCGGACAGTAAGTAGTAACTGTGAACTTGACGCCAAAATTAAATTTAAATCTAAAAAGCATGACAAAGTTTGTATTTTTTGTAAATTCTATAGGATAATCTGAATTCAGGCAGTGATTGCAATATTCTCCTGCAGCTAAATTTTCATATTTCTTAAAGTTTTTCCTACTGAAAATCCTTCGCTTTTTTTTTGTTATTAACAACCGTTAGATTAGCTAGCAAAGCTTCGTGATCAGATAAGCCCGACGGTATGACTTTACAGTGCAGCTCATCTACACTGAAGTTGCTACACACATAGTCGATGGTTGTAGATGACTGATTAGTAATGCGTGTTGGCTCATTTACGAAGATTTTAAGATTAAAGGACTGTAGTAGATTAACAAGTGCTTTTGTGTCTCAAGATTCAATGTCTGTAAAATTAATATTCAAGTCACCGGCCAGAATAATTTTTGAAGACAATGGAAATTTAGCCCTTGTATGAAACCTAGTGAAAACTCAAAATGATTCTCTATGATTAAATCGTTATGTTGGTCAATGGGTTGTATGATATTGGCTTCTAGAAAATTGCAGTGAGCCATAATTACTGTACCTCCATACCCCTTTTCTCTACAATTTATTGACACAGTTCTATAATTTGGAATATAGCAAAATTCAGCCTCTGTTAGCCAGTGTTCTGTTAGAAAAATAAATGAAGGCATATGTTAGTTCTCCAACAAAACAAAGAGTTCGTCAGATTTATTTCTCAAAGATTGTATACCGGGTGTCCCACTAAGGCCGACCAGGTACAATATTATGGAAACCATAGACCTTACGTAACTTGAAAACGAATGCAAATATTGAATTGCGGTTTACACCAAAATGCAGATATTTTTTCGCTCTTTGAACACAGCAATAAAAAAATAATATCATGCCATTTGGATTTTTCAAGAAAATATGAAAAAACTGGATCTTCGTTCAACAGCGCTCTCTAGAAGACGCGATGGCAAATATCGACCCCAAACGATGTTGTGTTCTTGATAACAATGAAATTCTCTTTCGAATAAGCCCAAATTCAATGAGTTTGTATAAGGAGTATGGAAGATACAGCAATTTTTGAAAATATTTTTTTCACCAGCTTCCCCCACTCTTATTAGTGAAGATACGAAAAAAGCCTAATGACCAAACTTGCCTGAAAATTAATAAATTTTTGATTTCTGTTCAGTTTTCCATTAACGTCCAGGAGTAAGTTTTCTTGATATCTGGGATAGTTTTCAAGATATCGCAGGTTTAACACAAAATGATTGTAAAAATGATCACTCTTTCGACGTTATGAAACGGAGATAATTTGACTTTTATCTTCGGTTAACCCATAAGTGCCAATGTTAATTTAAATTTTTAATATTTAATTAGAAATATAATATGCACTGGAAATTTAATAATTTTTTGCCAAAATGTACGGAAATTTGGGCCTAATTGCGGGATGCTCTTAGTTAAAAAACTTTGATTTGCGACCTTAGGGCTTGGACGAATATGGGACGACAAGTGGATCAGTAATCTACAAAATATCCCTAATTCATTTCCAACCCTGTTAGCCAAAAAGTCCCAAAGGAAACAGAAACTAAGCCACTTTTACGCGCCATGGCACTCTACTATAAGAAAAACTATGCATTTTTTGTATTTAAAATTTTTACCTATTCTCAACTGCCTTGGCAAGAGGAGTAGATATTGATGTCTAAAGTTTTTTCCCACTGGTATGCCTGTTCCATTTGGTACAAAAAAAGTTTTGCTAAGATGAAGATGAAGGCTTAATACTGTCCCTTCAGAAGCTGCTCTGATAACATGTCTTGTCGGTTTTTGGTGCTGTTGCTTTAAGCCAGGGACACATCTATCATGCATTCTTCCGATCCGACTCCGATCATACAATCAAGGTCCTTATTCTTGGAACAGGGGAGCAGCGGAACACTCGTTCTCCTGGGAACGCTGCTTCCTGTTGTCCAAGAATAAGAACCCTCATTGTATGATCGGAGTCGGATCAGAAGGATGCATGATAGATGTGTCCCGGGCTTTATCGTGATTATGCCTTACAAAACCAACAACTCATAAGGGTCAAAGATCTCTATAGTCTGGCAAGTGGGGAAAGAAAAGTGGGTCGTAGCCTAATAAGAACATTCACTGTCGTCTCCTGTCTCATGGACAACCATATTGTTGCATTCAGTGGTTCCGAAAACACTGAACTAATCAATAAAGTAGTTTGAAATAAAGTTCGAGTGAAAATACTAGGTCTGTTTGTTTCAAGAACCTATTTTTTTTGCAGACGACGATATTTCCACATTACTAAGCTCCAACAAAAAAACTTATGGCGGGAATCCGAAGTCTAGAACGCCTACAGCTGGAGGTGCTGGTTCTAAAATCATAGGTAAACCAACAACTACAGCTTCTGACCTATCCGAGGCAGCGCCTAAAGATTTGCCTACTAGTATGATTTTAGACAAGCCAGAATTGAAAATTGGTTAGTATTTATTTGAAAAGGAAACCCAATTATTTACTTTTTTTTCTGCAGACAATTTATATTATATTGCCAGAGAGAACGCCATCCAAGGCTCCTGGATCAAAGCTCGTCTATTGGAATTGTTTGGACCAGGTGATAAATACAAGGATCATACATTCACGGCACCTCATTATAGGCTCGTGGAACTTAAGCAGCAAAAAGAAAGGCTTATTGATGGAAAATTATTGGCTTATATGCAATCCTGTGGATCCCGTTTAGTGGTGGGGACCAGAGTCATTGCAAAATTCAAGGAACTTAATAATTCAGCTCAGAAACAACCAAAATCTGATCCCTATTATGCCGGTGTTGTGGGTGAACATCCTTGTAAATCAAATGCATACAGGTAATAGTATATTACAATCCGAGACGGGAAATTAGCTATTACTGTCGAGAAATTTTATAGTTTATCGAGACGCGTAGCGTCGAGATAAACTATATCTCGAGACAGTAATTAAATTTCCTGTCGAGCATAGTATACTATTTTATTTTTAACCATAATTTTTGCCAATTTAAATCAGAAATTGAATTGAATGTGAACGTAGCTTCATGGTATTTGCTTAAATTTTATGTCATTGTCATCAATTTTCAAAAAATTTGACAATACCTGCCACATAAATATAATAAAGAGAGGACGGGAAACGAGGACGGGAAGTGGAGCAGGGAAATGAAAAGACAGTAAAGTGACATTTTCAAATTTTTAAAAATTCTGTAATATCAACATCACATATATGGTTAAAAATAAAAACATATTGTTAGTTTGAATATTGTTACATCCTGATTATGGTATATTGAAACGTTGTCAATGTCAAAAATCAGTCCCACCATTTTGTTTCCCCCACGATACCATGTAACTTTTGTTTGAACTTTTTTTTCAAAAACACCGTTTTCAAGATATTAGACTGTCTCAAGTTAAATGGACCGCACCCTGTATATTATTTAATTGAAATCCCCATCCAATAGAACAAACGCTAAGATTTTGCAGATTTTTATCGCATTATCCCATAATCCTTATACAGGGTGTTCCGAAATTATTGCACCAAATTTTTATGCCATATTTGACGTCCAAAATAGGCCCTAGTTTCCTATAAAAACATATGTCCGGAAACGCTTTCTTTCCAAGATACAAGGTGTTCAAAATGGTTTTTCATTTATTTACTTGAAAACGATGCATCTTTCAGAAAAAGTGAGGAGATCAATTTTGTTCAAAATTGAATGGGGATTTCAAAAATGATTCTTATTTTAGGAAAAAGTAGTGGCGCACCATTTTTTTCTTAGAAAATATTCCATACAAATCCAGTATGGACGTCTCAGGTAATTTTAAAAAAAGATAATTCCACATCAAAAAATGTCTTTTACTGCTTGAAAGCACTGAAAGCAGTGTAGAAAATTTCAATGAAACATCTAGAGTGGTTTGAAAATTATGATAAAAAAAATTGTTTTTTTTTTCTAAAGCAGGACGCGCACTGAATCGACTCGGACCGGTCGACTCGGCGAAGAGCATTCGGTAGTTTTTGATACTCATGCAATTAAATGAGACTCCGCGCACGGCATCGGACTCGTCGACTCGACGTGGTCGACTCGAGTCTCATTTAATTGCATGAGTATCAAAAACTACCGAATGCTCTTCGCCGAGTCGACCGGTCCGAGTCGATTCAGTGCGCGTCCTGCTTTAGAATTGCAGCATCCTGTATCTCGGAAAGGAAGCGTTTCCGGACATATGTGTATACAGGAAACTAGAGCTTATTTTCGATGTAGAATACTCCATAAAAATTTGATGCATTAATTTCGGAACACCCTGTTTAATTTTTTTTTTCAATTTTGACCGACCAGATTACCAGATAATGATATTAACCTTGTCGCGCACTGCTGTTTGTCGGCAAGGCGCAGTAAGCACGGCGCCCACTGCGACATGCTTCGCCTTGTACTTCAAATTTCAACGCACGCCCCTGGCGATACCGCCGTCTTTTGACTTTGAACGAAAACTTCGAATTTCATCCCCACACATGCGAGAACATAAACATTTCCAAAAAACTCTTGAATTCCTAAGAAATTGATTTATTTTTCTCGCTATTTTTCTTGGTATTTTGTTAGTATTTCGCCAACGTTTTAGAATTACATAAATCTATCACGAATTTTCAATGCTGACAATTGACAACACTGTCAAATGCAAACTGTGACGTAGTGCGGATAACTCAGGTATCTAATGTCTGCCCAGCGACTCTGTGTCTACGGGGCAACGGTAAGGGGAATGCAGTTGTAAAAAAAAAATGGCTGATTTCATTCATAAAATACCCAGCTGTGTGCGAAACTTTTTGGAAGTGTTGTCATATTGCAACTCGTATACGAAAATCGACAATGACCAAACCTCCGCCACTGGATATTTCAATATAAATCGATATTCCAAGATGGGAGGATAAAATGACGTAAGCCCTGGCCAATAGCGAGATATAAGGTGACGTTAACCCATTGACAACCGCATGGTTCCTCCTGGCAACGGTAATCATGCCAAAAACTCCACCAATCAGGTTCATCCAGGCCGGATGCTTGCCAAATTGTCAAAAGCTGATGGTATCTTTAGAAAATGTTTATTTTTACAATAAATCAAATTGAAGAAATCAGGATTAAAATAAGAATAGATCTAACAACCACGTTAAAATATTTAGCGTTTTATTATTTTTATCAATATTTTGTTATTAAAACATGGATTTTCAAAAAAACTATACTTCATGCCTAGTATTTTCGCTTTTTTTATAATTAAACGTGACAACATGGCACATTTATGTCCGAATTCCTTCCGTAGACTCGGATCCGCTGGGCAAACAATAGGTACATATTTTTATTTTGAGAGTTTTTCCCTTTTATCTATTTTCTCAGAAAGGTCTATGAATTTTTGAAAAGTAAGAATGCAGAAAATTCTATTTTTAGTTGCTTCAACCAAATATACCAATTTCAAAAATTTGTAAAAGAGCCCATTGCACCCCCAAATAAAGGCAAAAATGGGTGCTTTGCCGCCTAGCCGTACATAAATAACTAATTCTGAATTCTCAAGTTCTGAGCCAAACAAATCTAAACTTTTGTCTTTACAGGTACTTGATATTCTTTGACATTGGTTATTCCCAGTACATCCCATTCAAAGGCGTCAACCTTGTCTACGCATCAAGCCCTAACGTTTGGGACGATGTGTTGGATGAAGCCAGAACATTTATAAAAAAATATTTAGAGAGTCAAGATAGGCCAATGGTTAAACTCAGTCTTGGACAAACTGTGAAAGTGGAGTATAAAGGTAGGTCAAATGTAATTTACTAATTCTTGGGAGAAAACAATAGGCTCCTTGCATAAAATTTTTTTATTGCTGATTTCGATAGTCCATGAAAAATAAGTCAACACGTATTTTTTCTTTTGCTTCTTAGTCAAAAATTGACAAAGATACAACACTATGAAATCTGCCTATGACGTCACTTATCTAATAAATAAGTGACGTTGCACATGCTCAGTATATCTATATATACAAAACTTAATATTTGAATAACTTCCGGAATAATCATATTTGGGCGAAATGAAAAAAAAGTAACGATTTTTTTTCGATTTCCTACAGTTTACTATAAACAATAATCAATTTAATTTTCCATGCAGGTACCCTATTATATCCTTATTGCACCTGTGTTTATAAAAGGAGTGAATGAAAGTTGAAGAAGAGAATTGGGGCTGATTGTAAACACGTAGAAGCTTTAATAGTTATTTATCTATCTATAACGCCTGCTTATAATACCGTGAGGTGTTTTTGTTGTTGTTGTTTTATTAATTTGCACTTTACCCTAAGCAGCCACTGAATGTCCGACCGAAAATAATTTTCGGTCTGGCCAGGATTCGAACCCGGTCTACTATCAACGTTTCTTATGTAGTCGAGTGCGTTAACCCACACGACCACCGTTGCTTTGCCTTATGAGATGTTTATAGATATATTAAATTGTTCCGTTTCTAGGTACAGGTACATGTCAAAACAAAAGAATATTCCGTCACACAAGTTTAACTGATTTTGTTTGATACTTAATTGATGAAAAAACATTGTGTTGAGTAGAAAATAAAGCATTGTATGCACCACGGGGATTTTTAGATTATAATGCCTCTCAGGCGAAATATATCCCTCGGGTCAGAAGCCCTCGGGCTAGTTTCTCCTTCAGGCATTAGATTCCACATAATCCCCTTGGTACATAAATAGCTATTATATCCTACTGAACTATTATAATCATATAATGCCTTGGTTACGATAATCATAAACAGGGTCTTAACTCCCGCGCGGGAGTTAACATTTCATAACACCCGCTTTTACCTTGGATAGGTGCAACTTTGAGAAAAAATAGAAATTTTGGTTTATGGTTTATTTATTTATGAAAATGGACAAAATACAGTAAATTTAGTAGGAAATAAAACTATCTCTGTACCACGGGAATTATCAGGTGTGAATAACAACAGGCAATTGGTGACCCTCAAGCCAAAGGCAGGGGAAGGTATTGGGAAAGGAATGTTTGAACCTTGGCCACATAACTACAATAATTAGTAACTGTGAAAGCATCACTAAATTTGTATACTTAAACAAAGGTATCCAAGAAAAAAAGGTTGGTCAAGGTGGGTATACCCTCACAAACAAACAACACTAATTCCTAACACCCGCACCACAAGCAATCCTTTCTTCTGACAAAAAAAAAAAACAATAATTAGGGTTTTGGTAGGGGACCTCGAAAACGGCTTTTTTTTTTAATTGCAAAACATCATGACCCCAAAAGGAAGCCGCACATCAATGGGGTTGCCCAAAAACCGACACTCATTCCTTTCATGGATGTGAAGTTCAGATGATATTAGGGCCCCAAGTACTCACCAGGAATCAGAGTGATGCCAAAAAAAATAGAGTTATCAATGTTATCATTGGCAAACTTAATTTCTAGTGAATTGGAATTGGCAAACAATTCAGATCTCTGGCTAATCCACTGATGTGATTCAACTGGATTTTGAGAAGGCTTTTGACAAGGTACCATTTGCACGACTTCTCCATAAACTCCATCATTATTGTATAACGGGACATATCTACTCAATTTTATACAGGATCGGCAGTTCTATGTCAGGGTAGGGTCAAAATCTTGTAAAGTTCCCAGTGATATCCCCCAAGGCTCAGTACTTGTCCCACTACTCTTCCTTGTATTGTGTGTGATCTACCAAATGAATTGAGAAGTCAAATGTTGTCATTTCCTGATGATACTTGTTGCTATTGCGATTCTGTTGCACAGTAATAGTGGAAATTGACATATACTATACCTGCATATCCAGGTCAAAGGAAAATTACAAGTTCACCCTGTTGTTCCGTTTCACTAATCTACTCCAAAAGCACTTTGGTAACTCTACTTCAGCTGCGCTCGGCCATCTCGAACCCAGCTGAAATACAGTTGACACAAGAGTCGAAGCTAGCCGATCATAGACAGCGCAGAAACTTGGCAACAGGATCTGGAACAACACCAAGTTATCGATCTATTCCAGAACAAAATAATATTTATCAATTAGGCGTAGGTACTTCCACCTTGATGGTTTTGTGAATACACACAACTGTCAGATTTGGGAAGAAGAAAATCAACAAACTTGTAATATTTTATGTGATATCAAATTAGTATTTTTTTACCTTTGTTCGCTAAATATTAATATTATTATACTTTATGATATTGGTTGTTTCTTTTAGGCAAATGGTGGACGTGTATAATAAAAGAAATCGATTGTTCACTGGTTCGAGTCCATTTCGATGCAATTAACCGCTGGGAATGGATTTATAGAGGCTCGACTCGTTTGAGCCCAATGTACAGAGAAGAAATGGCTGCTTCCACAAGATACACAGGATTAAGAACTCCAAGGAAACTACCTACAAGTGAGTCTGGGGTAGTTCAATACACTCGAAACGAAGACTTTGTGCAACCAGCTGCTAAAGAAAATTCACTTCCCGATCCCCAGCCTACTAGATCAGTCGCAAGAAAAAGTACTACAAGACCCAACACCATCAATCAACCCTTGCCCAAATCTGTACCATTTTTGCCTAGTGTAACCCCTAATGATTCTGCTCCTAACGTTACGGGACCTACAAGCAAAATTATGGTGAGAATCATTATATTTTTGTTTATTTTTCTGTGGAAAACTAAATTTGCATTTGCAGTACTTCACTCCGCGTGACCAACAAGCCATCAAACGCGAATACCAGCCCCACACATGTGGAGTGCAATGTAAGGCCTTTTTAACGCATAATTTTGCCAAACTCAAAGGGCACAATCCGCTCTCGAAACCGCTTTTATGTGGTTGGTCTAGGATGACTGCAAAAGACAGGAGCAGAAAAGAAATTGTTTATAGAGCTCCTTGCTGCAGAATGATTAGAAATATCAGTGAGGTATAATTTTTGTTTTATGGTTTATTTGAAGTATTTTTATGAAAACTTTTTTAGGTTCATTATTATTTAAGTATTACAGAGAGTGAAATGACTGTCGACTTGTTTGATTTTAATCATATGGTGAGGTGTTTGGCTGAGTTTAATGTGGATTGTACTCCAGATCCTAAAGATATGTCCAATGGTAACTAATAATAATTACATGTACTTAAATTCTTTATTGGAATGATTCCTAGAGGATTAAATAAAAATATTCGACTATAGCAATGAAACTTTTCTGTAGCAATACCCTGTATCTTGACAGTTTCTGAGATTTCCAATAACTTAATGTTGATACAACAATTGAAAAGATTTGTTATTGAGATTTTTTATTTAATATTTCAATACCTACAGTTCTAGACCAATGATTAAATTTTGAATGATACATGTTCAGCTAATGCCACGTGATTTAACGTTACACGCATTTCATTATGGTGTTCATATTGAACTAGAATGTATCATTATTTTTTTTTGTAGGTATTGAACAAGTCTCCATTCCAGTTATTAACGGTGTCAACTGCGAAGCTATCGACTTTGATAATTACACTATAAAAAGGACGCCCGTGGGAGGCGTGAATATGAATTTGGACGAAGAATTCCTTTGTGGTTGCGATTGTACAGATGACTGTGTGGTAAGGACCTGGGTATTTTGAACTTCTTGGGAGATGTTTGTTTGTTGGAACTGATCAACTTCTTAAAGCAAAGTATGAGTTGGGAGTAAAATTTTCATACATGCTTTTGTGATGGTTCTTTTAAACTGGTTAACATGTTGCCTGGCATTTTTTGTTTTTTTCAAGAGGTTTATCAAGTCAAATATTCTTCCAGAAGTCCTCTATAATTGACATTATTCTTTAGAAGTACTCGACATTATCTTGGCTTATAGTTGCTTATGATTTCCATTTATTTATTTCAACTATTTCTTTTTTAGGATAAACTAAAATGTGCGTGCTGGAAAATGACTCTCGATGGAATTAAATATCTTGGCAAAGACGTAGACGCCACTTCAGTGGGCTATATTTATAGACGATTGCAAGATCAAGTCATCACGGGCATTTATGAATGTAATTCCAGGTAAGATTGAACTTCTAACTGTACAAATCCAATTGTATTGTATTATTTTTCAGATGTAAATGTAAATCAACGTGTCTAAATAGGGTGGCACAAAACCCAATGTCGTTGAAACTGCAAGTTTTTAAAACCCATAATCGTGGTTGGGGCATAAGATGTTTGAATGATATTCCTCAAGGAACGTTTATTTGTTGCTATGCCGGGACGATTCATACAGAGTCAGCAGCAAACGAAGTAAGAGATATTTTTTTTCAGTTCAATTTTCAAAAATAGGTTTTTCCTCTAGATCGGCATGTTACATGGTGATGAATACTTCGCCGAGCTGGATTATATCGAATCAGTAGAAAAGTTTAAAGAAGATTATGAGGAAGAAGCAATAGAAGACGAGGATTTTGTAAGAGAAAAAACTCCACCTCCTCTGGAAGAAACAGCAAGAATCTCCAAAGGATCCAGTAGTAAAAAAAGGTGAAGCATTTTTCTATTTAATTCACAGTTTAGCTTACAACTCAGACAATCACAACAAACACTCAGTGTACCAATTCACCATAGTGAGTTTTTTAACCGGGAATTTTTCTACCTGGCCTGAAAAATGTTTAACCAAATACCGGACAATGATAACTTTAAAAATTTGAATAGTGCAAGGTTCAAAAACAAGATGCGTGAATTGATACAAATAGTCAACCATCCAAGGACCTTTTTTTTCAGTTATACATGTAAACCCCATACTTTGTGAGTGGCTTGCTTACATCAAGTCCTACAACTTTTCCTCTACGACTTTTCTCGGAAATGGCACGTATGCGCGCAGGCGACTCGCAAACATGTCGATCTGACGTAGCTATGTTTCCTGATACATGTAGGTAAATCTAATTTTACGAATACTGTTTGATTTTTATGTCTAAATCACGGAAATCAACTTGGCTGATAAAAATAATGGCAAATTGGGGGAGTCCGATACCCCTAAAATGTTTGCGAGTCGCCTGCGCGCATACGTGCCATTTCCGAGAAAAGTCGTAGAGGAAAAGTTGTAGGACTTGATGTAAGCAAGCCACTCACAAAGTATGGGGTTTACATGTATAACTGAAAAAAAAGGTCCTTGGATGGTTGACTAAAATAAATGATTCATTATCATTTATTTTCATTAATAAGTTTTGACATTTGAACTTTTAGAAATACTTACATGGACGACAACGATTTTATGCCATCTAGAACGGTTGCTAGACTTTCAAACGATGGCATAAGGTCTCGATTGAGAAGGAGAAAAGATGATGAAGACAGAATAGGTGAAGAAAAAATGCAAGAGGCAGCAATTAAAATTAAGCAGGAAGCGATGGACAAATATACAAAAGCTAGTACTTCAGTTGAGGAGCTCGCAGGGAACATAGATACTGTTACTATTAGTGACGATGAAGATGGTAAGAATAATGGTTTTAACTACTAAATATTTTCGATGCAAAAAGTTATTTATGTTGGTAGAAATAGGCTGACTTTTTTATAAACCTTTATATGTATTTATCAAAAATTGTATGTATGTACAGGGTGGGCCAATTTGGATACTTTCTTATGGAAACACCCTTTCTTTTTAGAGATAGAGAAAAACGAACCCCTCACTCTGAGGCTCAAATTTCATGAAATTTTGATTGGTGTAAACCGCATTTTGATATTTTCAACCGTTTAGCCGCTAGAGGGCGATTCTCGATTTTGAGCAATATTATAAAACCTTCATAACTTTTTTGTTTATGAAAATAATTGATTTCCGGAAAAACTCTCTGGACGCACTTTTTTAAGCAGAATTCAGTGACGTTCTCAGTTTTTTTCTATTTGGCGCCGATTTTGAGATATTGACCAAAGACTGATTTTTTTCAATAGGACACCCTTTATATTAATAGCTCATTGAAAAGGTATGATTTTTCTGATTTTATTGATATAAAGTTCGATATAGTGATGCCGCGAGACGAGACGAGACGAGATTAGCGGTTGATCTCGTCTCGTCTCGCCTGAGCATCAATCTCGTCTCGTCTCGACCTCGAGATTAACTCGAGACGAGACGAGAGTCGTAGAGTCTCGTCTCGTCTCGTCTGATCTCGTTTTGTGAAAAAATCGCCTGCATTGTACAACATAACCTATGGATTTTTCTTGCTGGTTTGGTTCGTATTTCGTATTAAATAAAATCCAATGTCCAGCTGGTCCAGAGCTAGAAGAAACGCAATAGCTGTATTTCTTTCGAGAGCTTGAAACATTAGCGCTCTTACTCGACCCTACCCCACTTTGAAAGGAACCGCTTGTGAGATGGTGTGTGAGAGGAAAGGACCGAAGGGAGGGATTGGGGCTTGAGCACTTCGGGTACAACAAAAAAAATTGCTGTCTTATTTTTGATTGGTTCTAAAATCCCATATATTTATATTGAAAACGCCGCCGTCTTGTTCCCAACCTCTTGTTATTTCTAAATATGAATATATGGGATTGAGGTAAACATCCATCATAATTCATGGAAAAAACGTATTTGATGGACCTAATAATGGTCATCAAATACGTCGATTTCAATTATATATGATAGATGTCCATTTAAATCCTATATATTAATATTTAAAAGTAACAAGAGGTTGGGAACTAGATGGCGGCGGGACCTCCATTGTCGCCACTGTATGTAAGGGTTTATTTAGCCACTGTAGCTATGGCTAACAGCATCTTTTATTTCAAACTTCCTACGACAATACAATTGGCTCTGAAAACAGTACAATTTGCTCTGAAAACAGTACAATCGCATGACCCGTTTCAGCAAGGATGATAAACACTACTACAGGATACAGGATTGCTCATCGGCCTCGATTTGTCGCATCAACAGCATATGGTGTAGCACCGTTGCCAACGTCATCAGCGGTGCCGACGACTATTTGCGCCAGCGGTCGTAGTTAAGAATTCAAATTTATGATTGATGACATAATATGTAGAGATGAATGAATGAATGAATGAAGATGAAGAAAAGATTTTAATGAAAGGTTTGTTTTTGAATGCTAATTAATGTACTGAAACCAAGTTCATAAAGCCAAAAGGAAATTTTCCGCGCTGTAACCACAAGTAACCAGGTATGATCATACTATGACGTCATGGTATCTCATTTGACATATTAAACGGTGAGGTATGAGGTAACCATAAGCAAAAAAAATGGTATGATGTAACTACAAGTAAAAATGTTACATGGTTACAGCGCGGAAAATTCCCTAGAATCAGCGAAATCATAGCCTGTGGTGCAAACACCCTAGGTCAAAGCGACATTAAAGCGAAGAACGACACGCTGACTACGTCATCAGTGGTACTTTTGCGTAGTGGGGAGCTTGAGATTTGAACTACACAGTTCTTATGGGCAATCCTGTAGTGTTTATTATCCTTGGGGTTACAGTTCATTTGAAATTTCTCCTGGAACGACACTGCATATACCATATACCTATCATTTATGAAGGCTTTGGCATGTCCCAAGTGAAGGAAAGTTTGTCTGGCTGAAAATTTGCGGTTTTTCAGTTTTTCACCTGCCAGACATATTACCCATACTCACAGATCAGCCAGACTATTTTTTTTCTTCTTATTTTGGCTATATCTTTTACTATTAGAACTATTTTTATCACTGGAAATACGAGTGCAGTAAATTTGTCTTTTCTTCGGTATTTTCTAGCGCATTTTCCTCCTTAACCCATCGAAACCCCCCCCCCCCCCCCCCCTACGTATATGAATTTTTCTTAGAATAACCAAGCGGATAATTCTATCGGTGTTTGCTGACTGGGAAAATAAGTACCGAAAATATTCACTGCCTTCTAGACTAATACTGATGATTATTCTAATCATAAATAAGTTACCTACCTACTCGTTAAGTTAGTAGTGAGAAAGTCAGAAATATTAGATAGGTAGGGTAGGTACTAATAATATTTTATTTTGTTGTTGAGAAATTTTTCATTTTTTCAATAAAATTCATGTAACAGGAATAAATACAAAAATATGGTGTGTTTTATTTTTCATAACCTTGAGTAAGTAGTTAATGAATTCGTCAATCTTGAAGAGAATTTCATTCATCTGTCAAAACTGGTATTCCAACCATGAACTCGCATGTTTTAATTGTTGATTGCAACCAATCAGATTGCGATTACGTGACAATTTGCACTAGTGCAGGATTATCGGATAATTGCACACTAATAGGTGGCATTTGACATTTTTTGTGACTAGTGACATTTTTATACTTACGAGGGTATACTAAAAATTCAAATTTTTGATTCATGGAAATATATCTATAATTTTTGACAAATTTGCAACTGAAAAAGGCACTCATGCTCTTTTTCAACTGAAAATGCATTCGGGAAAATTTGCCAAAAATTTTCGATAATTTCCATTGCTTTCGTTATATTACTATCGAGTAAAAGATTTCCTGTAGGTAGCTCCTTTGAAACATTATTGAAAAAGAAACTAAAACGATTATTTGAAGGACGAGACGAGATTAGTCGAGAATCTCGTCTCGTCTCGCTTCTCTTAGTCTCGAAGTCGAGACTAAATGGCCTCGAGACGAGACGAGATTAGGGCGAGACGAGACGAGACGAGACGAGAGTGTCATTTTAGTCTCGTCTCGCGGCATCACTAGTTCAATCACTAGGTTCATCACTAGGTTCATCACTAGGTTTATCTCTAACCGTTTTCGAGAAAAAAAATTATTTCGGTTTTTCTCATAAAAAGCAATGTGTTAGAAAAGGATTTTATATCTGTAAGGAAAATGAAAAAGGTCTCTTTCTAACATATTGTTTCTTATGACAAAAACCAAAATAATTTTTTTCTCAAAAACTATTCGAGATAAACCTATCGAACTTTATATCAGTAAAATTAGAAAAATCATAGCTTTTGAATGGCGCTGGTACAAAAGAGCGCAGGTCAAAAGAGCGCAAGTCAAAATAGCGCGGACAAAAGAGCGCAGGTCAAAAGAGCGCACGGACAAAAGAGCGCATGGACAAAAGAGCGCAGGGTCAAAAGAGCGCATGGACAAAAGAGCGCACGGACAAAAGAGCGCAGGATCAAAAGAGCGCATAGACAAAAGAGCGCACGGACAAAAGAGCGCTAGGACAATATAGCGCGGACAAAAGGGCGCATATTTTATAAAATACAAGAACACATGAAACAAAACTGTTTTCAAATGACTATCTACATTGGGGTACCTAATGAAAACAACAAAACTCGAGGAGAAAATTCTCGGAAACTAAAATTGAATTAATATTTATGCAATAAAAAATGCAGACTTACTCAAACTAACCCGAACTAACCCGTCCGCCTAGCGCGATATAGTCCTCGTAAGTTAGCATTTTATTTGAAAAAACAGTCAATTTATTTATGGCGTAGCGTCCCTTGACCGCGCCTTGTTTTTCAAATAAACTGCTAACTTACGAGGACTAGATCGCACTAGGCGAACGGGTTAGTTTGAGTAAGTTGATGTGTCCCTCTTTTGCTTAGAGGTCGCCGTTGTAAATGTGCTTTTTTGATGTCGCTATTTCGAATATCGCTCTTTTGAACCGGAGCCACCGAAAATATCTATTGTCCTCGTAGATAGTTCGGCACCTCGCGTTCTTGTCCAATCGCGGTTTTATCTTTCTCTAGTTGCGTTTTTGTCCCTAGCGTTTTAATTCAGTCGCGTGTTTGTTCCTCGCGCTTTTCCCCAGTCGCGTTTTTGTTCCGTCGCGCTTTTCTTCCTCGCGCTTTTCGTATCGCCCTTTTCTCACTCGCATAAACGGCTGTAGCGCAAATGGCACTAAGCCGACAGACGGTTTATTATTGGTAAGTTTGGGTAAGTCTGCATTTTCCTAATTAATAGTCTATCTACTAGTCAGCGTTTAACAAATGAAGACGTATTTGTTTGCAGAGAGAGGAAGAGAATTTGGATTATTGCAGCCCTGGTTTTAACATAAACTAAAAAATAATTTCACGCCGCCACAAACTTAACCTGCTTAACCCGTCATAACTTCAATTTCAAAATGACATTTTAGATATCATTTGACTTCAGAAATACAAAGTACATATTTCAAAAAATGCTTAAATTGCAAAAAGGAAAGGATATTTTGTTTCATAATGGATACCGATACAGAAGAGATCGTATAACATCTGTGTCTGAATCATGGAGATGCTGTGCCAAATTGTGCAAAGGCAGACTTGTTTGCAAAAATGAAGAAAAACAAGAGCGAACTCCTCATAATCACGGGCCATCTCCTGCCATAAGTGAAGTCAATTTTGTCAAAAATAGGATTAAGGAACTTGCCAGATCTACGCCTTTAAAACCAAGAATTATTATTCAGACTTCTTCATCAGAGGTAAGTTAAGTGGAAGCTCTTCCCAGATTTCGATAACTACTTGGACAGTAGTTTACTTCCCCACTATGTAAGTACATATTTAT